CAGTAAAAACTAGGTAACTTAACCCATCAACATAGGCAAACAGTAAAAACTAGGTAACGTAACAATCAACATAGACAAACAGCAAAAACTAGGTAATTTAACCATCAGCATAGATAAACAGTAAAAACTAGGTAACTTAACCATCAATATAGACAAACAGTAAAAACTAGGTAACTTAACCATCAACATAGATAAACACTAAAAACTAGGTAACTTAACCATCAGCATAGGCAAACAGTAAAAACTAGGTAACGTAACCATCAACATAGACAAACAGTAAAAACTAGGTAACTTAACCATCAACATAGACAAACAGTAAAAACTAGGTAATTTAACCATCAACATAGACAAACAGTAAAAACTAGGTAATTTAACCATCAACATAGACAAACTTCGGCGTATTAAAAATATACAATTATTAATAGAAACTTCAAAATTAGCTTACACATGTGCATTCATGGAAAACAAATAAAATACGAAACACAATAATACGATAGACCAAAGTAGTACACTAAGTGTAATTCAGCTTATATCACTATAGAGTAAAACAAATCTATTAAATTGGAGGAATTTACTTATTTTGTTGTTATTATGATATGGGTCGATTAATGACATTGTGACCATTGATGAGAAGAAATAGGGTGAGTATTTGTACCTGACCAAAATAGTTATTGTTATCTTAGCAGAGTCCATACTGAAAAACCCGAAATCTTCCGATGGTGAAGAAGTAAAATCCGGGGTTCGATTCCACGCGCCCGACACAGCAGATAGTCTGATGTGGTGTTACTCTAAAACAAAACAAACAGACAGGACTAAAAAAAATGCAGAAATGGAAAATTAATAAATTGCCACGATGTATTCATCACTGGAGATTTCGACAAAGAAGTCACATGTGACTTAAAAACAGAATTTGATGATCCGATCTTCGATCCAAGGTTTTGGACCCTATAAACACTCAGAATTTTGAGTTATGAAGCTTGCTCTGTCAGACTGGTCAGTTGGCGAGATTCGTAAAGAGTAGAGAATAAAAAAACAAACTTAAGCCTCCCGACAGTGTGAACATTGATGTGTTTACTTGTGTTGAATAATAACGACATATCCTCTCCATTTTTACAGTTTCCTGAACCTAATAAAATTTTCCATTCTCCTTCAATTCTCAAACATTTGTCCAGCATTATGAAACAAGTAAAAGCAGATAAACAAAACAAATTAGCGGCCTCGACATTAAAATAAACCATCCAACGCCGTCATGAATCGAAGAAAACAACATCAGCACACGCTCTTGTGTTGGATGCTGATATGATGAAAAGGTTCAAACATGTAAAAACCCCATGTTTGCCACTGTCAGTTAATTCACTGACACCCCTTTATTTCCGGAATGTAAGCAAGATAATTATGATATTTGTAATCCAGGGATAATACGCTGATTTTATTTTATTTATGAATAAAACAGTTACAATGAATGACTGAACTATTTCAAATTTACGTAGGTTTATTGCACGTTACTTTGTAACCCTCGACATTTTATTTTGATTCGGGTTTTTCACATTTGTTCTTTGCTTGTTTGAAATTAAGCACAACGCAACACAATGGGCTATCTGTGCTCTGTCGAATGCGGGTATTGAAATCTGGATTTTAGCGTTATAAGTTCGCACAAAAGCCGCTGTACCATTGAGGTATTTGTTGATAAAAAAATTAATCAAATGGATTTCACTAGTCGTAAAACAAAAAATGTTTGAAATGAATTAATCAAACTCTAGTAAATTCGTGAGCTATTAACTTGTTTGTTGTTAAGAACAAAGCTACACAATGGGCTATCTGTGCTGTATCGAAACCCAGTTTTTAGCATTATAAGACCATTTAACTTACTACTGAATCACTGAGAGGCTAAGTTATTCCAGAATTACTCGTTGATTTTTATGCACAGTACTAAGATTTAAAAATATATGTATATTGGGTGCATGAAAACTCTGGACAAAAAATTCTGTTAAAAGCTCCTTGTTTTCTCACGCCACAAGTCTACAAACAGCTTGCTAACATTATGAATACTTGAGACACAGTCTAACCCATTCGTATATGTGTATTTTGAAATATATTTGAGTCCGTTTTGTTATTATTATTTCCGTTAAAACAAACTCAAGTTTCTAGTATACCCTAACCAAATGTCAGTTATTTACAAAGCTTCTATAATCTTAAATCTACCCAGGCCCGCCGACAGGGGGGGGGGGGGGCATGGGGGACAACTGCTCAGAGGCCCGTACGAATGAAATCTGGTTATGCCGTAAAGCCCGCGAAGCATCTTTAAGCTATATCTTCATTTAATGATAAAACCATAGTTTTTGGCTTTTCTTTGCATATAGACGCTTGATACATTAAGAACGACTGAAATAATAATTTGATGATTTTGTCTGGTTTATGAGCTCGTTGCTGTTCTAATTCAGGATCTTCTTTTTTAATAAATTCTTGAAAATGTTTAAAAAAAGAGAGAGAGAGAGGGGGCCCGGCGAGGATGTTTACCCCGGGGCCCGCGCTGGCTCTCGACGTTCCTGAATCTACCCATATACTTGGCACAACCTACTTATACTTTCTACAGAAAGAAACAAAAAGCGTTTATTACGTCACATGCTTTGATAAACAACCTTTTGCCAGGGTTACAGAATCTCAAAAACTCCGGTTGTATTTTAACTTCTTGGCTAGAATTTAAATTTGGGTTAATATCAAGCATGCTAAAAGGAGAAAGACAGTAAAACAAGAGTATTAAGCTATCGAAATAAATTAAAGTGTGTTTTACTAAACAAGTTACAAAAGTGTTTTTTATATAATATTTTTTCCCTAGACCTATTATTACACGTATTAACAGTCCCTTAACTCCCCTGTAAATAAATATGAATTAAAAATACCAATAAGATATCATTTTTACGGAATATACCCTTGACATGTTCGCTCTTGGCAACTGGAGAGAAATTTCAACATCCAATGAGAAAGGAAGAAGAGAACTACGTCAGATATCACGCCTCCAATATCAGCTGACAATGTTTCATCCGAGGTTGAAAGTATTTCCAACTCTAATGCTTCAAAAACATCCTACAGTTGTTCTTAGTTTTATTTTCACTGTGAATTTTGATATAATATAAAATACATATTTTGTATTTATTAAATTTTACAGAAATCTAAAATCACTTTTAACAGAGTTACATAGGGCATGACCTGTATGGTCAAATTGCGCTATTTGTCTAGCTAACTAAACCTTGGCGGAAGAAATAGGTCGAGCCGTGCCTTCGCTACGAAAATTACGCAATCACTGATTCTAAGGGATAAGTTATTACTTCAGTTGGAACATCGTACTTTTTAACAGGACCGAGCAGAAGAGGAGTAACTTTATACGCGGTCTAGCCCCAACAAGTTTTTGAAAAATTGTTAAATATTTTTTAAAGTATATAATAGCACATAATCAGTATGCCGCCCATCCATTATTGGGTTACCAGGTGAGTCACAGAAAATATTATTCATATTATTAATTCTAAATCTAAGAACTTAAAGTTTTAAATTTAATGAGTGAATTAAGGTAAAGAAGAAAGAATATAATTAAAAATATCAACCACACTGTCTGATATATTGATCACAATGAAAAACGTAAAAGTATTAAATTCTAAATCAAATTGGACACATGCAAAATACTAATTACATTTTAAATAGTGTAATTAGGGAGTATTTAGGTTTCTTGTTGATGATTGAATAGTATTGTCGTATTAACTCGCGGTAACAATATTCTGAGCTCATGTGATTTCATAAAACTAAAAACGGCTGATGTTCTGTGCGTTTCTTCTGGGCATAAGAAAATCTACCATATCCAGTGCCGACGAAGCAGTGAAGTCTTTTAAAATTTATTCCTACCTTTGTTTAACGAAAAGTGGAGTTTATTACGAAATATTTCTGAGTGTAAATAAATATCTATATCTCCAGATTGATTTTTCGTAGCTCAATATTTCTCTATTACTACTGTAATACTAGTAGTATTACTATTATTAGCGGACTTCATAAGTTACCGATAACTGAACTCCAGTAAGAGCGAGATATTGAGGTAATAAATATGCATTCAGTAGATATAAAGACCGTTCTTTTACTTTGTTTATATTAATAAAAATCTTTTTTAAGCTTATGTATTCTCTGTGACCGCTTGCAACTAAATTTCTATTTCAGTTCAGCTTTGCCTACTGTCGCAGGTTCATTTTCACACCGTTACTTAGAGCATAGTTGTAAGTTAAATTACATATGGCTAACACTGACAGTTTTAGATCAATTAAGTAACTGCCATTAGTGTAAATTAACCCCATTTTTTTAACACAGAATTTTAGTCAATTTGAAATAAAGTAAAATTTCTTGAATACAGTATGGAAATTTTAAGGGATAAAATAGGATGTACCCAAACAGTATAATTTGGGGTTCACTTTTAAAAATAACCATGTGGTTGACATACAATATTACTATAGTGTTAATACTGTTATTTCTTCATTACGTTATTATAGTTGTCGTTAAGAAATGGTTATAAGTTACTTATTATGCTATTATACAGATTTGAAAAAACTTACGGAATAAATCTAAAATATCAATTTTGTATCCATTACTAAATTATAAAGCACATTCGTTATCATCCGTGTCGTGTGTGCATTCTGTCTGTTCACACACCATAGTGGTTTCTCACGTTTATACTCATTCATTGGCAACGTTCCAGATTCAAAGAGTTGAGTAATTAGGTGTGCTTTCTCTCTTGTTAAACTTAAAGCTAAACATGACATAGTAGTTAATTTCATTTTAGCTACCAATTTTATCAGTTTATAACTAAGGTTACCGGTAGCCATCTGTTGAAGTAATTAGATTGTTTTAAAGTTTTCTACAATGTAAATTCGTTTTAATATTTCAAGTTCAACTATAAATTATTCTGGTGACCTTTTTTTTTTAAATTTAAGCACCTTAGAAATTGACGTAAGTTTAACACTGAAACTGATTGTGATGTATTTTTTTCCCGAGAGTTTTAGGGCTTAAATTTGTGTTCTGTTTATGTAAAAAAAAGTCAACACACCTGCACACTGTGAAAAAGTTGACAAAGGCTTGAATGAAATTCTAAACAAACTACAAAATTTTGATTATATCTATTTAAATTTGCATACGAGTCTTTATTGGAAAAGTAATTATAAATTATTGAAATAGTTCAAAACAAAGATGTTAAGATTAAAGAATTAAACTAAAAATATATTTAAATGTTAATTTCTTTATTTTTTGTCACTCCTTTCATGGTGAATATGTATTTGTAAGCAAATATTTAAGATACTAAAGTAACAGTAAGTCTTTTAAAAGCATTATTACTGACTGTATGTATTAACTTAATGCAAATCATCAACTAATCCTAAATCAACAAAGACTAAGATCAAATGCATTTAAGTGTAACCTTTCAGATCCAATAAGTTTGCTGCTGTCAGGAAAAGAAAATTCTACTTTCAAACAAGACAGAATCAAAGCTCTAACACTTGTAATAAAATGTCATAATGTTGATTTATGTATCTTTGGTTAATAGCAAAGAATTAAGGAAGTAGCTCCATGCCAGGTTTATTTACATTGAGATTAAATTAACTGAATCTAATTATAGTTGACTGTAAAAGCAGTGTATCAAGCTACAAAATATTTTACTGTACTGAAAGCACTACATGATTGTGTTTCAACCTCAAAAGTTCTTGCAGTATCTGTTGACAAACAAGATTCACGAAAGCAGGCAAGAGAAGCTATCTTGTACAGAATAGCTTGCAGACATGATGTAGCTAATATTATACGTTATACTCCTGAAGCTCTAGTTTCTTCACTATAAGATAGAAACGATGGAACACTCCCACTTATAGAACAAATGAAAACAATTGTATGAGGTGACATTAGCACCAATGAATAGAAAACAAGAGAGTGAATGACTGAAAAAGATAAAGCAATGAAGGATTAAATTGATGACCAATTTAGAATAACTAGTGTAGCTACTTTAACATGCTATAAACTATAAGAGGTGGAATTTCTCCACAAGCCAGCTATCTGGCTCTCGCAGTAAGTCTGACCTTTTTGGTATTGATAAATTTTGAAATTAGCTTCAAAGTATTATTAAGTATAAGGTAAAAGAAATAATGATGCTTTTATGAAATATAATTTAAATAAGACTTGAGATATATTGTAAGAACAAGAAATCATGGTGATTAAAAAAAACATTGATTGTTTGTCTAGGTGTGGAAAACCCCTTGCAAGAAGTATAGACTCTTTTCTGAGTGTTGGAAAATGGGTTCCAGTAACCAGTCGTTTGTTTAGTGTTGTTCATGGAGACATAAGCAGATTACAACCGAACGTCCGAGACTTTGTGGAAGAGAGGGCCAAGTTATGTCAGCCAGACAGTATCCACATTTGTGATGGTAGTGAAGCAGAGAATGACTATCTTCTTCACATGATGCAGAAACAGGGAGTGATATTTCAGCTCAATAAGTACGAAAATAAGTAAGTACTTTAAAACTACGTTCTTCAGCTATCTTATGAAAATGATTTAGTAGTAAATAAATTTGGTAATCTGCCTCTATCATAAGTTGGAGCTGTTGCATATAGCTTGTATCAGAAAAGTAAATATTACCATCTTTCATCTTTTAGTTCCTCATCTGCTCAATATTAAGTGGAAACTCCATTTTTTTAACATTGTCTTCTACTAACAGAAATGGTGAACCAGTTAAGGCTAAAAATGTACTTTAATAACTAGTTCTCATGCATGCCACCACATTTCTGTAACAAAATCTAGCCACTTTCCGTATATTGTTCGTACAGTTTATATATGGTTTTTTGTCAGTTATCTTCCTGGTGTCATGACTGATTCCATAAATGTTAGCATTTTAGTATTTTTTTTAGCAAATTCTGAGCTTCATGTAACTGAAAAAGAACCCATTATAGAAGTTATGTGAATATAAAAACAAGGTCTGTTGACTTTTCTTAGCATTTGGGAACTACTGGGCTTATTCTGTCAGATGTGTGGAATATAATTCATATAGATTTTTTGAGTTTATGGAAATAATTATATGAGAAATTAGGGACTGTAAACCTCCATAGAATGTTGGGCTCTTTTAATGGGAACTCTGGTACTAAAGGTGGTCATGACAGTAAGATAGAATATTTTCAAGAACTGCCTTCCTCTGAGTGCATTTATTATTTACTTTCAGTTGCTTTAAATTTGGAATAGAGCCTGCTTCTTTTTCATCACCATCTATGGATCAAGTATGGAAACTTCCAACTTTGTAGAGTAAACATTTCCTGTTTTCTGGGGTTACAATGTTTTCAGACTTTTTTTTTTTTTCAATGTAACACATACAACTCAAGGAAGAGTTATATTACATCCATTTAAGTAATTTTAAGTGACTTTTTTTTTTGTTTTACTAGCTTTGTACACTCAGAATATTTGTTTACCATGACAATATTTATCTACTTTGATTTATAAAAGTGGTATATCCACTATTGTATTGATTCCTGTATTTACTTCTGCACTTTCTCGTATTAAACAGGACCTGCAATCTTTTACTTCATGTCTTCAACTCAGCCAATAGCCAAGGTTTTGGCATTCCAGGATGAATGAATGAATTATATATTGGTCGTTTGCCAGTGTTTTGAGAGTTGACGACTCTACATGTTTCGAGGATGACGTTGTAACGTCGAAACATGTAGAGTCGTCAACTTTTTGAAGGCCATAGATAAGCCTAAGTAGAATGTTTTTAATTGTGTACCGGTTAAATGTTGGATATTATTTATGATTTTAATTATACTAAGATATTTCAGTTGATTTTAGCAAACAACTTTGGACAATTCTAATTGTTTTTTTTTTTTATTAGATTTAGTATATACATCTGTGGTCAAACTTTTTTTTTTTTTCTTTCTGTATTTAAAAGAAATTTTGTTTGTGCATTTTTTTTCTAGTTGGTTAGCACGTACTGATCCTGCAGATGTGGCTCGTG